AGATCACCATTAAATGGAATTCCATCAAATGCTCTTTGTCCGGTCGAAATCTCTGTCGCAATAACTCCAAGACTGTAAATATCTGACTTTTGGGTATACGGCTGACCCATCAAAACCTCAGGTGCTATATATGGTAGAATTCCACAAATTTTTCCTTTCTTTACTTTTTTAGAAAGTCCAAGATCAGTTATAAATGCATCTTTCGAATATTCTTGCAAAATGTTTCCACTGTGTAAATCTCCGTGAACTAGTTCCTGCGAATGAATCGACACCAGATCCAAAACTATATAATGTAGTATATTCAATTTATCTTTCCATTCTAATTGTGATACTTCTGCGAGATTTTGTCGTAACGAACCGTTCGGTGCATTTTGCATAACAATAATATAATCACCAGAATTATTTCTTGCCACTCCAAAACAATTCAAGAACGAAGGATTCTCGTAAACAATTTCACAATAGTTCTTCAATTCCTGAATAAATTCTTGCTCATTTTCATCGGAGCCACGAATCACTTTTAGTGCAACATGCCACCACGTACCATTATTTTCATCATCCCAACGAGCAGAATATACAGTTGCAAATCCACCTTTTCCTATTTCCCGAATATTCCTGAACTCATTATAATCAATCCAAGATAATTTAAATCTCTCATCGTCTAATATCTTCTTAAGTTCAGGATTGATATGATCTGGCGACTTATTAGTTTTTAAAAGACTTCTAAATTTTTTGAACCAATAATTTGCTTTTTGAATATCTCTCTTTATACCGGTACCGTTTCGATAACATAGAGCAACATTATTCATTGCTGCTTTTGCACCCATATTAGCTGATTTTTGATAGTACTCAAATGCTTTATTATAATCTTGATCGACCCCCTCTCCATATTCATAACGCATACCAATACTACACATTGCTTCAGCATTATCCAAATCAGCAGAGCTCTTATGATATTCAAATGATTTTTGATAATTTATCTCTACTCCAATTCCATAACGATAACAAAGACCAACATCTTGCATAGCAACTGAATTTCCCAACTCAGCTGCTTTCATATAATATTCAAAAGCCTTCTTTTCGTCTTTTTTAACACCAATACCATATTCATATTTGTAACCAAGTGAACGTAGTTGTTCAGGGTCTTCTTTTTTAAAGAAGGAAAAAAATTTCATGCCTAAATAAAATGCAAAATTTAATTGTCTGGAGTGCGGCGGCATGGCGGAGGACATTTAATGTTTAGTCAATGTGGTACAAAAGCTACATCAATAAATACGTTTTTGATTATTTACTTATATTTAACACATCAACAACGTAATTTTGAAAATTTTTCATATCTGTATGCATGCATATTTGTATTTTAGTGTAGCATCCCAAAATTTTATTAATGTACAGTAGTCATAGTCCATTCATTAAAAAAATGTACTGGCTAATATGGTTTAATGCCCTCAGTTCTAATGCATTCAACCCTGTAAAAAAATCCTATGATAGTAAAATCATTGATAAATACAGAAATGTCATAAAAAGCTACAACGTAATCCCGCTACAAGTAGTGAATAGCAAAAAGTGGTACTTTGTAAATATAGTATGATCACCACTAATGCACTATATTTTACGTATTTACAGAAAGCTACTAAAAGTCTTGAATATCGGTTTTAATGCTCAGAACTTTATTAAATATATGTTTAGCATTTGTACGTCAATTCAGGACCTTTATTTTATATCATAATATACATCCTCACAAACTTCTTTGGTAATTCCACTGGCTGAAGTGAAGGAATATTTAAAAAATAGTCTAATATTAAAAAAATATTGCATTAAAAATTCTCACATAATTAGTTCAGAAGTTTGATACTTTCTTGCCAGCTAAAATATTACGACATGACAAAAATACCTGGTCTATTTGGTTCAAAGACTAGTTTTTAAAAAGTTCTGGACTGCGGTCGAGGGCTAATTAGGGCTGGTGATGCAAACGGCTAGCTCCATCTTAGAGGTTGGAATCGAATGTTCAATTCATTGAATATTATACGTATTAATTATGAATTGAATTAATTCGAATGTTATAAAACCATTATATAGCTGTTATAAAGCCATTACGTAATCATTACAAAATCGTTACAAACTGTTATAGCAGTTATTTTTAGCTGTTATAACAATTGTAAAATTATTATATGATGTTGAAAACAATTGCGTTATTAGTACAGTTAGACCTCTCTAAATGCATTGACAAAAAATCTTGCATCTAGAGAGGTATTACATTTAGGGAAGCAAAATCTATAATTGCTATATGAGTTGGGGTCCATACATTTAGAGAGACTATGCACATGGGAATATGCATTAGGGAGGTCAGACTGAAATAATATACTCTGATCTCTCACACGATAAATACGTTATTAACTTTTGTTGTAATTAAACCTTTATATAATACAAATTGGGGATTTCAAAATTAAAATCAGAGATTATTATTTTATTTTCCTGTCAATTTAATTGTACACATTCAACCAAGTATTGAATCATTTATGTAAATATGATAAATGTAACGGAATACTCAGAAAAGTATTTCTTTATTAAGAAATGACAGCCAAACAATATAAACCAGGTAAATTATATATCTTTTATAGTGCTTATAAATAGGTCATGATTACAAATTAATATTAGATTGATATTTGTCGCAAAACGATGCTAATGGAGTTTAAATTACTTATGTCTGATTTTAACCGAAGCGACTAGAATAATTACGAAGATTATTTAGGTATGCGATTTTTCTTTTGACAACACTCATATGATGGTAAGATTTCCGTAAGGATATAAGAGACACCTAATTCAAATTTTTTGGTATAATTTGATCTGCTAATCATGTATCTGTATATGAAGACATAAATACGTTCGTACATATAATCTAGGTCAGATTATTGATATTTTTAAAATATAAAATTATACAGATATGTTTTCTTTTTCTTTTTTCCCTGTGTCATGGAACCCGGGGTCGTCATATGACGCTATTACCAGCATGTTTTCTTTGGAAGATATATTTGATTCCTTAATTGTTACCAATCGCAATGCTCTGCTTGTATAAATAGCCTTGGGACTCGTTTTTTCATCATCAAATAAGGTATGAGAAAAATTTTGTCTTTCATCTGCATCAGTCATCTGTTGCATTTTACGTTTACTCGGCTGTCAGCACCACATACCCACTTGATCCTTTATTTCTTTTGTTGTTGGTCTTTTTAGAGGATCATTATCCCAGAAATTTTGCATTAATTGAAGGTATAAAGATAATGTATTTGTGGGCGTAATCCTTCACAGATAGCTATAGCTAAATCGTTATCATGAGGCATGGATTCAAATGGTCGTCTCCCACACTTGTTAGGTTCCACATAATAATTCCAATACTATACACGTCTGATTTTGAAGAATAACGCCTCCACGAAGTACTTCCGGAGCATTGTAAGGTATTATTACACCATAAATATCCGATGTACTACGATTGATGCGACTGGATGCCATTGAAAGACCAAAAACTGCAATATATGCTACTCCAGTGTGTATAGGAACCTAACGAAAAAAGATGCTGAACTTCTCATGTATGCAAGATGTTACCAGAATGAATGTCACGATGAATGAGTACGGCTTTATGTATTCGCTCTAAATCCAAACCAATATCCCATATCATAAATAATCTATCATCCATGTTAGAGTAGGCATATTATCGCGCATGAATTTGTTTAAATCACCACTTTCTGAATATGTAGTTATAACATAATATTTCATATCAGCTGGGTCTTGTGTAAACCCAAGAATGCGGAAAAGGCTAGATTCCTTGTTATAGCAACGAAATAAAGCTCTGCCTAATATTGAACATATAGTTCAAGTTATAATGTTTAAAACTACGAGACAAAAGGAAAAATTTTTTTTTTAATCTTACCTCAGCCAGGATGTTTGAAAACTCATTTGACTCCCCAACTGTTTTTAAGACAACAATTTCATCTGGTATCTCTTCAAATCCTTCTCACCAATCGAGCAGAATACGCTACACCAAAACCACCACCTTTACCAATCTGTTTAATGTTAGTTAACTCTTCTCAATTTATCCAATAGGTTGCTGTTCCTGGATGATGAGCTAATATTTGAGTATATTTAATAAATGTGTCTATCTCTTGATTTCGACTTGTCCAAGCTACAGATTCTTCTCGAAAATGAGATGTGATGCAAGACGAGCAAAGATCGAACTTTTCTTTTGGATGGTTGCATCTTAAACGCTTTTTTTTTTTTACCCATACTGAAATTTAAGTTATCTATTTTCTTCTAGTAATACTGTAATATAGAAAAATGAATAATTGTCAGTTTGGCAAATAAATTATTTCTTGATAATTCCATAAAAAAATGAAAATTTCACTGTTTCTTTACAATATACAAGATTTACTTACATATATATGTACTGTACGTACAGTACGTACCTAAGAGAATGTTTTGGGGGTTTTTAATAACAAATCATTCAATTATACAGATAATTACAAATGGCAATCTGCATAAAGAGTGGCATTACCCAGTAAAACCCTTTTGTTATTAATTTTAGAACATTCCAACATTCGATCATGTGCAGACAGTAAGTAATTACGTCATTTTTGGCCAATAAATCTTATGCATTAAGATATGACGTAATCATTAAAGGACCGTTTACGGCAAAGTTTTTTATACTAACTAGCTGAAAATTATATCTCGATAAATTTTGAGGCTATCTTGACGAATTAATATTCAAAAGAAAAATTAAGATCGAGATTTTTTTTTGAATATCAATCCACCAAGATAGACTCAAAATTTATCAAGATATAGGCTATGAAAGTTAAAAAGATCGAATTTTTTTTAAATATCAATCTGCTTAATTTCTAGTACACGGCAAAATCAATCAAAAACTTGAAAATCAAGTTTTTGAATCTATCAATTTACAGTATTGGACATTAAATACAGATTTTTATTTTTAGTAAATATATAAATCTAACAAGCATCCAATCTTACTCCAGACTTCGTAGTAACTTATCATGGAGTTATAGTTGTTAGACGTAACCTTGAGATTTCGCGCTGACGAAAGTCGAAACCTAATTTCGACTTTCGTCAACTAAAATCTCAAATGACGAAATGTCGAAACTGACGAAAGGTGACGAAAGGTACCGAAACTGGCGAAAGGTGACGAAACTAACGGAAGGTGACGAAAGGTACCGAAACTGACGAAATTGCAAAGGGTGACAAAATTAATA